CCCTAGATATCTTAAAATATGCCCTAAAGTGGTAATATAAGTTATTATTATAAAATAATCCTATTTTTAGTCAATTAACATGTTTTAAAATAGTATTTAATGCCTATAAACTAATTAAATTGATGTTACTCATAAGGAATACCAAGTTATTACAATTCAAATTTGAGATTGCCCGCGAATCTCCCATACTTGTTCAGCTACTGCCCGTCAGATGTGGCAAGTAGTACCACCAGTTACTATTTCTGGTATTTATTTGACTACTTGACATAAGCATTTAAAAGCTGTTACAAACAATAAATATGTTTAATCTATGTAAATGATATATTATGCATTTGCATCAATTTGTAAGTGTCCTGTATACCTCCATACGATGTTCATGTACGTAAGTATATAATTACCAAGACCTTTTGTGAACTATTTTTTTTGTCAACGTAATAGGTACTTAGGTACCGCGCTAATAACTAGGAAAACAAACGAAAATTTTAAATTATAAAACAGTTTATTAATAGCCACAATTATTATTTCGCCTCATAGGTAGTGGGTTTTTCAATACTGAAGAAGTTGCATGTGGCGAAGTGGTCATTATGGTCTTTAATAAACTATTTTGTATATGTATAACTTAAACTCTGTTTTTGTTCTGTTCGTTAATATACGAATAATAATATATAAATAATTTGAAGATAATTTGAATTTGAGACCTTTACTAAAGGTCAGGGGCGGCCTTAGTCATTGCGAAGGTTCGGGCGGGTAGATTTTTCAGAGGTTTTCGTCTTTATGGAATTAATTTTAATGGCTATACGAGAAATGCGAAGTTATTATTATATAAATTTAGAGTTTTAAAATTGTTTATTGTTAATTAACAAAAATTAATAAACACAAAAACAAATTATAAATCATGATAAATTGAGGTGCATTTAATGTCTTACAAGAATCAGGGATTTAAAAATGGTGCTTGCTGCTATTTTTAAGATCATGAAATTCAAATAAACGTTAGCACTATTAGTACTTAAGTACTTAGATTGTTGCGCTAGTGCGCGGGGCGCTGTTGGCTAGCCCTAAAAGTTACCCCTGCTAAGGGTTTGAAATGAAACAAAAGTGTCTTTCCTATATAGTTTTATTCCAAATGCGTTGTGTACAACAATTATTTTTCACATTGTGGAAATGTAGACATATGTCGTAAAAAATTCGTAATTTTATAATATACCAAAACGTATTGCACATGTAGCCTTTGAATAAAAATAATTAAAATTTGTACTGGATATTTACTAATTTTACAAAATATATAGAGTAACAAATGCGTAAAGAGTAGATAATTTTAAAATTAGGGTGCTTCAAAAAAGAAAAGGATAAAGAAATAGAAATAAATGTAAAGGTAAAAACTACATATTGAGCCGATGCTGCTACTGATTTGGTTGATATTTTCTGTTATCACATTTTCTAAAACATCAGCACCTTACATAGTTGCGTAAAAGCACAGTTTCTGAATTTTATTAATGAAAACAAAAAGTGAAAACACCACATAAATAGTTCGCATACAGGCTCTGAATTGTTTTACCAATGCCCAAGAAATACTATAGCGTAATACGTATAGCCTTTTATAATAGATAGGTAACTATTTACAATTTCATTGGATTAGATATGCTTATTTTTTCTCTTTTTTGATTAAAAAACAAGCGACAGATGTCATACCCTGGTATTAAAAACATAACAGTATCAAAAACAACATACAAATAATTTAAACAAGATAACTTAATGTACCTATATGTATAAGCTTTTTTCCTTTTTTTACAATTAGTTGATTTTTTTTACTTTCTAATATAATGACGTAATAAGCACACTGAACGCAGTTGATGTACAAATATTGCACATATTTAACTGCTATTATGTGATACTTACTTTTATTTTACAGAAAAATGTTTTTTTTTCTTGTCTTCAGTCCTTTTAAGTCATTCGAAACTGAGAACTAGTGCCCGATAATGCTATACCTCGGAAATATAATATAAACAAAATGCATAACGCAGATTTTCTCGCTTTAAAACAAACAAGAACAATGAATTTTAATAATTAATTAATTTTTGAATTTTATTGGACGTAGTAAGCTCAAATAATTCGCGAACATATCGATAATGTATACAANGTAGTAAGCAAAAGAAACGTATTTAGTTGTAAGGGGGCTCAAATACTATTTTACACTGGTTAAATATCACTGTTTAATTTAATAAACAAAGTCATACTTGTCAGCGGCAGTATTTTTTATATTAACTTATGAAACTACTTCACAGCATTGAAATAGTTGTAAAGATAAATATAAAAATTATTTCGCCGTCATGATCGCGCAATATTCAATAAACGGTTCTTTGGTTTATATATCTAGTATTCTTTTTTTCCGGAAATTACTGCAATAAAGTACCACCTACATGACTCATGTATCATACAACAGTCCGACGATTTAAGGAACACATTAAGTCCAACACTTTTGAGTTGTATTTTAAATTTTATACAATATATATATTCAAAAATGTCAAAAAGTCTTATACCAAAACACTATGAAGAGGAGTACCAGTTCGATGGGGTGGTTGGCGTGGTTTTGTTGGGATGATATAAATGGAATCCAGTTCCAGCAGCGCCGTGATGGTAAAATTGGGGTTGATCGACGTACGAGTAAACCTGTGGTTTAAGGGGCAGGGGACTCTCTGGATACTGGTGACGTAACACGTCCTGATACACAGGAGTCTCAAACGTCACGGCACTGTGTAACTGTTGATGCTTGTCACGTGGCGACACACTCGACGGTGGTGTCATGGCTGTATGATAATCCATCGAATATCCAGAAGGATAATTCTGGTGTTGGGAGAGTAAGAACTGATGATCGCTGTACGATGAAGATCCTTCGCTACCTGGAGGAGTCGGTAAAGTACCTACCTGTGCATCCCCGGCATAGTAAGAAGAGGAATTGGCAGGTCTCGTTATACTAGATGACGTTATACCATGCACATTTGCCCGGATAACACTTTCTCTGTTTGCGTAAAGTTGTCGCAAAAGAGCAGATGCCGGGAGAGTCCCTTGCTGTTGCAGTTGTTGATGGTGTGCACCGATCCATTGAATCGTTGTCCTCTGTTGCTGCTTCAGTAGAGCGTCAGTACTGAAGTCGGTCGGCTGGTGGACAGGAGATTTGCAAGCCGGAAGATGTTTCGACATGGCGTTCTCCAAATCTTTCACCGACGTGCTGGTGGTGTCTTCGTGAATTTTCGGGCTTGTACCCGTCGAATCGGTCATCCCCACGTGAGCCGTATTGGAGGAGTGACATGAAGAAGACACAGGACTGAGTACAATGTTCCTCTGATCTGAAAGTTCCTCCTCTTCATCGGACGAGACGCCATTGTTTTGGGGTGATTTTCGTTTCGTACCTCTCGCTTGGCGTTGATTTTCGGCCGGGGTTTGAAGTTGAGCACTTTGGTCCGATCTTCTGCTCCTCGGATCTCCCGTTTCTTCGTTTCCACTCTTTTCCATGCTGTGCGCCGGGTCTTGGGCAGCGTTTGACGGTCCTCCATTACTTTGGCCATCTTACCAGAGACACATATTAGCATACTGAACTATACTAATTAACAGTGGTGGTACGTTAACGTACCTCCTTGGTCTGCATCTGGTGATCCGTTCTCGGGGTCGTTTCCTCCCGTTTCTTCCCGCTTTACGGAATGGGAATTGTCATCCAACTGGCAGCAATCCATGATTACATTCTCGTACTCCTTGCCGCTAAAAAAGGATAATATGCGTCGGTGTAAATAAGGGGAACTACAGGTTTTCGTCTTTTATTTAGTACCTTATCACGTAATTAACACAAATAATATTTTGTTCTTCGGCATTCTTCGAATTACATACAACTGTTGCGCAGGTTTGCATCCATGTGTATCCTCCGTTTTTATTCATTATTCTATAATAGTGCGTTAAAACTTGTCCTTTATTTATTACTAAAAGAGAAATAAAAAAAATTGTTGTTCGTATTGAAATTTTGGAGAATGTTACGTACAGTCTATATGGCATTTTCTCAATTTGTTAGCGTCTTCCCCGTGGCACAAACTGTACAGATTTTTGCCAGTAAGTTCTTCCGAAGTGTAATCTAAGAGATCAGATACCTTGGGTTCACAGTGAGCTATCCTAAAGTCGAAATTTATTCTCGTAACAAACATATCGGACTCTAACCGAATTTCGTGTACACTAGGAGGAGGTAAAGCTATGGCTAAGGCTACCATCCCTAATAGGGGTGGCTGAGATTTTCGGGAATGTGAAAAAGAATACTGTGGACGAAGGTGGCACACCATTAACACAACCTGAAAACAATTAAGATTATTTCGACGCGTTACGGATGGTTTTTATAAAATTTCAAACAACAGACCCGATAACCAGAAGTCTTGAAATGACAGCCTCTTTTCGTAAGTGTTGATTTCATACGGACGCAGAATGCCCTGTCTAATCCTTTGTAAGGAGGATTTCCAACTATCGACATCACACTTGATACTGAAAATAACATCATCATTTACCATTACTTCAACCATTTAGCTCAGATAATAGACGAATAGCATTCTTTAATTTAGAGACAAATATCAAGAAAAGTTTCGCTTGAGTTAAAAATAAATGAAAGGAAAGGGTTTAAATAAGTTCTCTGAAGTAACAGTAAAGGTTCAGCAATAGTTTTCTCATTAAAATTATGATTGAAATGCATATAAAGTAGCGGGTGAACGGCTAAAGAATATTAATTGATGAAGTTACATCGTCTTCGATGACCGGGGGAAGCAAGTTGAGGTGTATATTTGCTGGGTAATCGCTAAGGTGATGGTGGTGCAAGATTAGAAAGTGGAACAGGACAGGCTATTGAATGGACGATTAGAGTTGTAATGTCCGGCAGCCACAACATTCCTAGGCGTGACAAAACATCGACACCACTGAATAACAATTGACCATGTAGTGGTCCGTCGTATTTTGCATGCTCAACGACAGCTTCCTGTCACATCCACAACTCTGACCGAAAACAAGAACCATAGACGTTTCCAATCGATATAAAACTATCCGCCAGGTCAACACACTCTTTATTCAAGCATTGTTCGTATGCCAAACAGCATTATTTGTCATTTAGAAACATTGGGTCATTTTCCTGTGAAAGCCCTGTGGCTAATAAATTTGGAAGAAACTCTGCTAGAACCTCCACAAAACCCCTTTCACTCCTATAAGTGAACTAATTTTTATTACTTACCGTCAGGATTATTTGTACCGGTTACAGATGCACCTTCTTCTGAGCCGCTTCCTGGAGAAGCCATACTTTGGCCTTGCGATAAACCTAAACCTAGTTGCTCTGCTATTTCCGAATGGTCATGCTGATGAATGTAATCAAAAATACTGCTACCCGTCATTTCAACCTAGACGCAACAGTAAATAATAATTCTGGGGAACTGTTATAAGTAGGTACCAGATAAATGATTTAGGGTATCCTAGTTCATCGTGCTTATTCTACAATACATTTTCAACTCCTTTTGTGGATATGCTTTAACATTAATCGTTGTTTTTAAAAATGGCGTTATCCTCATTAGGGCAATCAATTAGCGCAAGTGCCATTACTAAATAGGGTTTGTGTCGTTTCTTCAGGCAGTAGCTACCGTTTTCGGAAGACCGTAGTAGTTTTAGAGTGGCAAGGCAATAAATTTCTTTTCTATTTCCGAGCAGTGATGATTGTAGTAAAAAGAACTTGTTTTGGATCAGCATATGATGCTTCAGAAGGCATGCCAAAAAACAACAAGAAAAGGGAAAAATCGAAAACGGAGTCGCGGTTGTAAATTGAAAATGTGACCGTACATCGGCAGCTTCGTTTATTACAATTAGTATGTGGAGGCGTTCCAAGGAAGAGATTTAAAAGCAGAGGTGATAACATTTATGTACGTGCAGCTAAGGTCGGCCATCTTCCCGGCAGTTGCAAACACCCTATTGATTATAGCTACCGCCGACGTATTATGAATGGCAAGCACGACGCTGCAGAGGACTACGTGAGGAGCATTTGCCAGTTGGGCGGCAGCGTCACGGGCGGTAGTTGCGACAGCTACCAGGAGTTTGTCCGGGGATCGGCAACAGCCCACGACGCCGACTCTGTGCCAGCCACCAACTTACCTCCTACCCGCTGCCGCCACATCAGCCCAACATTTTCACTCCAGGTCATCTTATTTTGACAAAAGGAACATGCGAAACTTATTCCTTCTTTTGAATCAATTTTGAAACTATCTTCCTTTTACTTAGTTCCTTACTTGAACCAGCTCAAAAATTAAGGAACTTTCTTCTTAATATGCATGATACAGGATATGTACATGATACTTTTTCTGGTCTAGTNACTAAATTTAGTATCAGCATTGCACCCTTGCGAAGCTGGGGCAGGTCACTAGTAAATAATAAAGTAACTTAAGTCCAGTAAATATAATATAAATCCTTGTTACACTTTGAGAGGACAGTTTTTAAAAAAGCGGCGATAATTTTTAGACAGGCGAGGTTGGAAAAGCGTATTCGTTTTCGTAACAAGGAAAAATTGCCGACAAAGAAATGTCTAATGTGTTCGGTAAACATTTTGCCTTATCTGTATACATATTGTACATATGTGTATAATCATAAATTTATTTACTAAATACACAGCTTGTGAGAGACACCTGTACTCATTACTTTCGAAATAGTGATGATTATTTAAAACAAATGTCAGGAACCATGACGAAACTAAAGACGTTTTTTCGGTGTTGCGACAAAATCAGCCTAACTAAACTTTTAGAAACTTTTTCTATTACAACCTCTAGACTAGAGAACGTTTAAGAAATATCAATTCAATATTAGCACTTAATAAAAATTCCTTCAAGTCTTGAATTATAAATACAGCAGACGGAATTACAGCCTCTAGACTAGAAAACGTTTAAGAAATATCAGTTCAATATAAGCACTTAATAAGAATTCCTTCGAGTTGTGAATTATAAGTACAGTAGACGGAAGAAATAACAAGTAAACTAATGTTATACAATCGAAAATTGAACTCGTTTATAACGAGCACGTAGGGAATAAGAATTTTGTTTGTTATAGCCGAGTGTGCATTATTGACGATTTCTACCTTAGAAATTTAATGCAGATACTTAAAAAAAGTTGCATGAAACGTTTAGAATATACCTTAATACTTCTTTTACCAAATATTTCGGGGATTTACAGAAATAGTGAAATATCTGTTTTTAAGGCCAATGGGCATTCTTTTTTATAACTGATGGTTCACTCTGTTCACAATATATAGCGGTCTAGCATAATTAGTAATACGATTGGGGAAGTACCAAATATTACTGGAATTTACAACAAAGTGGAAAACAGGGAAATATTTGTTTCTAAGTTAAATTAATTTGTTTATAATATACATATCTCCAGCATAATTAGTATGCTTATGTTATGGAGACATTTCGTTATCTATTGTAATCTAATTTTAATTAATTTTGCAGGTGTTTCATGTGTGCGCTCTAACCGATGACGGTCTTGTAATGAAAAGTTTTTTGTGTCCTGAATCTACGTTATTCGATCAAACGATTCTTAAATGCAACTGGTGGTTTTATGTGGACTGCAAAAATTCTAAAAAGCTCTACGATTCGAACATTCCAATTTCGAAAAGCTATCAACTTATGAAAGCCCTTACATTCTTTTCGACATACAAGAAAGGTGGGACAGCGAAATCGAAAACGAAAGACTGATGTGCACGTAAATAATTTTTTTTATTTCTAATTAAAAAATTGCTCAATTAAACGGGGCGTAACCTGAACAATTAGTTAAAGCTGCAAATCTTATTATTAATCTCGACAAAAATAGGTGCATTTGATACATGACGACAGACATTTATTAACTTTTTTTGTACTTATATCGTTAGATATATTTGAAAAAAAGAACCAGTTTGCAGCAGGTCAGTCAATAATTTTTTTATTTTAACACAGGAAAACAAAGCACTCATTTAAAGGCTTTCAGTTATTTATGTAATGTACCTACTAATGCTTTATTTGAAGCATTTTTTTATAGTCACGATTTTGTAGAATATGCATTAATAAACCCCATAGTCACTTGTGTGTAGTTCCATATAAATTGGCTCTCGAACAGCAGCAAAACTAGTCATAGTCTTTATTAGTGTTTTGAATTAATGATTAATTAGTTTTTAATATTAACTAAAAATGTGTTTTTGTTAATGGCATTTTCCCATCTTAGGAAAATGTTATTTATTTAAGAATGTCATTTTGAAATCAATTGAAATACATTATGTACAGGGTGTTCATATTTATTATTAAGCACATCGCTAACAGTTGATGTCTTGCTGTTCTAATTGTGGATAGATACTCATATGAAGATGAAGAACATTTTACATATGTTTGATCTATATTATATTTATGCTTAAAGCTGTTTGTGCCTTTTTTATAATTAGTAGCAGTAGTTAAATACGTATATACATATAAATATAGTGTGCCGTAGTGTAGTTTTATAAAAGAACTGTACATAACTAGAATAATAAAAAAATAACACACTTACTTTTTGCATACAATAATTATTTAATTTCGAAAACAATTAATTATTTCAAATTTCAAGATGCGTTATATACTATATATTGGAATTAGATAAGGTAGATTCTTATCTACTTTTTTCGGCAATCATCGATCGGTGCTTATAAGTATCGTGTACGTTCGGTTACTTAACCTATAATTTGTGTTGTGGTTCGTGAATTTGTTCTATTTTATTTAAACAAAACAAATAACAATTATTTATCTTTTTTATCAATGCTATCATCAAAGAGGAGAATTTAATTCCACTTGTAATTCACATTGACTTCAGGAAATTACCAATCAAGAAACAGACCGTTAGATATTTTAAAAAGGGCATGAATGGGGACTTATCTTATCATTTATTACGTGAAGTAGTCAGTTTTCTTTCTTGATCACTAATATCCTTATAATGTCTTTAAAATGGAGAATATTAGTTGGAGTTATTATCGTAATTATCCTTTGGAAGATGTATACACATTATGGTACATATCAATCGAAAGGACTTGATGTGATTCCCAAGACAGAGCCCACTGGTGATGAGAAAAAGATCAAACTGACGGTATATTATGAAGCATTATGTTCTGATTCAAGAAATTTTATTCTGAGTCAATTACTTCCTACATATAATTTATTGGGAAAGTATTTGTATTTAGAATTAGTTCCATATGGGAAAGCAAAAGTAAGAGCCATATTATTTAACATATAACACCCTTACTCCAAAATTTCTCATTTTCAGACAATAGAAGAAGGTGATAAGATAACATTTCAATGCCAACATGGAGCTTTGGAATGTGTTGCAAACAAAATTCATGCATGTGTATTGGATAAAATTACCAGTTCATACTTTAGATTAAAATATGTAGCCTGCATGATAGCTGACAATCTTGTTCCAGAAGAAGCAGGCGAAAGGGTAATGTGATATCCTTAAATCCTTGGTATCAACTGTTTTGTTTATTAAAATTTTTGTGTTTTATTAGTGTGCTAAGGATTTAAACTTCAGTTATCAGCCCATTTCTGAATGTGCAGCTAGTGAAAGAGGAAATTTGTTGTTAAAAGCCTATGGCATTGCAACTCATGCAGTTCAGCCAACAATCTCTTTTATTCCTACTGTTGAGGTAGATGGTTCCCAAAAAATACCTTTAGCACATCTTTTAAAGGACTTGAAGAAGGAATTGTGTCAGTTGTTGCCGATAAACACTGAAGAGTGTATTGAGCTTTAAGAACAGATGACTGAAAATTCATAATAAGTAAATAGTATTATATTCAGAAACTTTCTTCATTCCTATCATTTTTATAAACTAAGCTTTTAAATTACTACATTTCTTTTTAAAATAGAAATTTTTAATTTTACTGTGTGACCAAAAGTTGTAGCCTGGATAAATCACTGAAGTTATAAGTCTCGTATTTTTTGTACTGACGTTTGTTAATGAAAGTTTTATAAGAAAAATGCTATTTTACTGTTGTAATTAGCTTTTAAATTTTAAAGCAATGAGTTGTTCTTTATAATACCGATTATAAATATTCTTGATAAATGTAAAGGGCAAAATTGGGTATAAAATTGGACTAGTATAATAAAAAGAATGTTTTTTTTTAATGACGAGGAACTAAAATATGAAAATATTGGTTAAATGTGTAAAACTTGTTTCTTAATCACTGAAATAAAAATTTTACTCTGAATAGCGAAATAATTAAGCAAACTTGATTCAAATAATTCGCGAACATATCGATAATGTATACAACTATTATTTTTTTTACGGTTTACACTATTCAGTATCTGTTAATTTATTTTAGTTTGAATTTATGCCTTCTAAATGTACAAATATACAAATGTAATTTATTCATTTTTCATGTTATTTAATATTGATTGATAATGTAAGTTAAATGATGTACAAATACGGTTTTATAATCCTTTTATTATGCACTTTTTGTGATTTATATTTTTGGCAACTATCTTATTATCTTCAGAAGTAATTTTAGAAGTTATAGATATGTTTAATTTTTTGTAATTATGTATATAAATAAATGTAATATCTCTTTGCTTGTTAATTAATTAATATAAGTATATATCAAAAGTTTTATAGTTTAAAGTAAAGACGTCTAATCGATATTGTTTTTCCCAGTTTATAGTAAAGGATTTACATTTATAAGTACAAGTATATTTTGTAATTTGTTTTGCCTAATGTGATTTATCGGCCTCTTGTCGGTAAAGTATGTGTTAGTGATTTCTCTAATTTCACAGGTACTTTGTAAGATATCGCCCTTTCGGTTATATGAACTGTGTGATAATAAAATTTACTCTTTTTACTATACAAGTAAGATTGATTATATTAGCATGACTAAAATTGGCTTTCATTGCCTAATTTTTACTGTAAATTTGTAAATAAGTTGTGTAATAAAGAATTTCGTATTTATTCCATTGATTATTGTAGATGTGTGGACAACAATTTTTATTAAAAATTACTTTAAATATTGTCGAAAGAGTGTATTGTTTTATTATAAAAGTTAATTTTGCCCTAGATATCTTAAAATATGCCCTAAAGTGGTAATATAAGTTATTATTATAAAATAATCCTATTTTTAGTCAATTAACATGTTTTAAAATAGTATTTAATGCCTATAAACTAATTAAATTGATGTTACTCATAAGGAATACCAAGTTATTACAATTCAAATTTGAGATTGCCCGCGAATCTCCCATACTTGTTCAGCTACTGCCCGTCAGATGTGGCAAGTAGTACCACCAGTTACTATTTCTGGTATTTATTTGACTACTTGACATAAGCATTTAAAAGCTGTTACAAACAATAAATATGTTTAATCTATGTAAATGATATATTATGCATTTGCATCAATTTGTAAGTGTCCTGTATACCTCCATACGATGTTCATGTACGTAAGTATATAATTACCAAGACCTTTTGTGAACTATTTTTTTTGTCAACGTAATAGGTACTTAGGTACCGCGCTAATAACTAGGAAAACAAACGAAAATTTTAAATTATAAAACAGTTTATTAATAGCCACAATTNTTCAATTTCTTTTACTTAGTTCCTTACATGAACTAGTTAAAAGATTAAGCAACTTTCTTCTTAATATGCATGATACAGGATATGTACATGATACTTTTTCTGGTCTAGTCTATTTTCTGTTTGTTCCCGTAGAATTAATACTTTTCAAAGGGCAATAAAACTTATTCCTTCTTTGTTTTGACAAAAGGAACATGCGAAACTTATTCCTTCTTTTGAATCAATTTCAATTTCTTTTACTTAGTTCCTTACATGAACTAGTTAAAAGATTAAGCAACTTTCTTCTTAATATGCATGATACAGGATATGTACATGATACTTTTTCTGGTCTAGTCTATTTTCTGTTTGTTCCCGTAGAATTAATACTTTTCAAAGGGCAATAAAACTTATTCCTTCTTTGTTTTGACAAAAGGAACATGCGAAACTTATTCCTTCTTTTGAATCAATTTCAATTTCTTTTACTTAGTTCCTTACATGAACTAGTTAAAAGATTAAGCAACTTTCTTCTTAATATGCATGATACAGGATATGTACATGATACTTTTTCTGGTCTAGTCTATTTTCTGTTTGTTCCCGTAGAATTAATACTTTTCAAAGGGCAATAAAACTTATTCCTTCTTTGTTTTGACAAAAGGAACATGCGAAACTTATTCCTTCTTTTGAATCAATTTCAATTTCTTTTACTTAGTTCCTTACATGAACTAGTTAAAAGATTAAGCAACTTTCTTCTTAATATGCATGATACAGGATATGTACATGATACTTTTTCTGGTCTAGTCTATTTTCTGTTTGTTCCCGTAGAATTAATACTTTTCAAAGGGCAATAAAACTTATTCCTTCTTTGTTTTGACAAAAGGAACATGCGAAACTTATTCCTTCTTTTGAATCAATTTCAATTTCTTTTACTTAGTTCCTTACATGAACTAGTTAAAAGATTAAGCAACTTTCTTCTTAATATGCATGATACAGGATATGTACATGATACTTTTTCTGGTCTAGTCTATTTTCTGTTTGTTCCCGTAGAATTAATACTTTTCAAAGGGCAATAAAACTTATTCCTTCTTTGTTTTGACAAAAGGAACATGCGAAACTTATTCCTTCTTTTGAATCAATTTCAATTTCTTTTACTTAGTTCCTTACATGAACTAGTTAAAAGATTAAGCAACTTTCTTCTTAATATGCATGATACAGGATATGTACATGATACTTTTTCTGGTCTAGTCTATTTTCTGTTTGTTCCCGTAGAATTAATACTTTTCAAAGGGCAATAAAACTTATTCCTTCTTTGTTTTGACAAAAGGAACATGCGAAACTTATTCCTTCTTTTGAATCAATTTCAATTTCTTTTACTTAGTTCCTTACATGAACTAGTTAAAAGATTAAGCAACTTTCTTCTTAATATGCATGATACAGGATATGTACATGATACTTTTTCTGGTCTAGTCTATTTTCTGTTTGTTCCCGTAGAATTAATACTTTTCAAAGGGCAATAAAACTTATTCCTTCTTTGTTTTGACAAAAGGAACATGCGAAACTTATTCCTTCTTTTGAATCAATTTCAATTTCTTTTACTTAGTTCCTTACATGAACTAGTTAAAAGATTAAGCAACTTTCTTCTTAATATGCATGATACAGGATATGTACATGATACTTTTTCTGGTCTAGTCTATTTTCTGTTTGTTCCCGTAGAATTAATACTTTTCAAAGGGCAATAAAACTTATTCCTTCTTTGTTTTGACAAAAGGAACATGCGAAACTTATTCCTTCTTTTGAATCAATTTCAATTTCTTTTACTTAGTTCCTTACATGAACTAGTTAAAAGATTAAGCAACTTTCTTCTTAATATGCATGATACAGGATATGTACATGATACTTTTTCTGGTCTAGTCTATTTTCTGTTTGTTCCCGTAGAATTAATACTTTTCAAAGGGCAATAAAACTTATTCCTTCTTTGTTTTGACAAAAGGAACATGCGAAACTTATTCCTTCTTTTGAATCAATTTCAATTTCTTTTACTTAGTTCCTTACATGAACTAGTTAAAAGATTAAGCAACTTTCTTCTTAATATGCATGATACAGGATATGTACATGATACTTTTTCTGGTCTAGTCTATTTTCTGTTTGTTCCCGTAGAATTAATACTTTTCAAAGGGCAATAAAACTTATTCCTTCTTTGTTTTGACAAAAGGAACATGCGAAACTTATTCCTTCTTTTGAATCAATTTCAATTTCTTTTACTTAGTTCCTTACATGAACTAGTTAAAAGATTAAGCAACTTTCTTCTTAATATGCATGATACAGGATATGTACATGATACTTTTTCTGGTCTAGTCTATTTTCTGTTTGTTCCCGTAGAATTAATACTTTTCAAAGGGCAATAAAACTTATTCCTTCTTTGTTTTGACAAAAGGAACATGCGAAACTTATTCCTTCTTTTGAATCAATTTCAATTTCTTTTACTTAGTTCCTTACATGAACTAGTTAAAAGATTAAGCAACTTTCTTCTTAATATGCATGATACAGGATATGTACATGATACTTTTTCTGGTCTAGTCTATTTTCTGTTTGTTCCCGTAGAATTAATACTTTTCAAAGGGCAATAAAACTTATTCCTTCTTTGTTTTGACAAAAGGAACATGCGAAACTTATTCCTTCTTTTGAATCAATTTCAATTTCTTTTACTTAGTTCCTTACATGAACTAGTTAAAAGATTAAGCAACTTTCTTCTTAATATGCATGATACAGGATATGTACATGATACTTTTTCTGGTCTAGTCTATTTTCTGTTTGTTCCCGTAGAATTAATACTTTTCAAAGGGCAATAAAACTTATTCCTTCTTTGTTTTGACAAAAGGAACATGCGAAACTTATTCCTTCTTTTGAATCAATTTCAATTTCTTTTACTTAGTTCCTTACATGAACTAGTTAAAAGATTAAGCAACTTTCTTCTTAATATGCATGATACAGGATATGTACATGATACTTTTTCTGGTCTAGTCTATTTTCTGTTTGTTCCCGTAGAATTAATACTTTTCAAAGGGCAATAAAACTTATTCCTTCTTTGTTTTGACAAAAGGAACATGCGAAACTTATTCCTTCTTTTGAATCAATTTCAATTTCTTTTACTTAGTTCCTTACATGAACTAGTTAAAAGATTAAGCAACTTTCTTCTTAATATGCATGATACAGGATATGTACATGATACTTTTTCTGGTCTAGTCTATTTTCTGTTTGTTCCCGTAGAATTAATACTTTTCAAAGGGCAATAAAACTTATTCCTTCTTTGTTTTGACAAAAGGAACATGCGAAACTTATTCCTTCTTTTGAATCAATTTCAATTTCTTTTACTTAGTTCCTTACATGAACTAGTTAAAAGATTAAGCAACTTTCTTCTTAATATGCATGATACAGGATATGTACATGATACTTTTTCTGGTCTAGTCTATTTTCTGTTTGTTCCCGTAGAATTAATACTTTTCAAAGGGCAATAAAACTTATTCCTTCTTTGTTTTGACAAAAGGAACATGCGAAACTTATTCCTTCTTTTGAATCAATTTCAATTTCTTTTACTTAGTTCCTTACATGAACTAGTTAAAAGATTAAGCAACTTTCTTCTTAATATGCATGATACAGGATATGTACATGATACTTTTTCTGGTCTAGTCTATTTTCTGTTTGTTCCCGTAGAATTAATACTTTTCAAAGGGCAATAAAACTTATTCCTTCTTTGTTTTGACAAAAGGAACATGCGAAACTTATTCCTTCTTTTGAATCAATTTCAATTTCTTTTACTTAGTTCCTTACATGAACTAGTTAAAAGATTAAGCAACTTTCTTCTTAATATGCATGATACAGGATATGTACATGATACTTTTTCTGGTCTAGTCTATTTTCTGTTTGTTCCCGTAGAATTAATACTTTTCAAAGGGCAATAAAACTTATTCCTTCTTTGTTTTGACAAAAGGAACATGCGAAACTTATTCCTTCTTTTGAATCAATTTCAATTTCTTTTACTTAGTTCCTTACATGAACTAGTTAAAAGATTAAGCAACTTTCTTCTTAATATGCATGATACAGGATATGTACATGATACTTTTTCTGGTCTAGTCTATTTTCTGTTTGTTCCCGTAGAATTAATACTTTTCAAAGGGCAATAAAACTTATTCCTTCTTTGTTTTGACAAAAGGAACATGCGAAACTTATTCCTTCTTTTGAATCAATTTCAATTTCTTTTACTTAGTTCCTTACATGAACTAGTTAAAAGATTAAGCAACTTTCTTCTTAATATGCATGATACAGGATATGTACATGATACTTTTTCTGGTCTAGTCTATTTTCTGTTTGTTCCCGTAGAATTAATACTTTTCAAAGGGCAATAAAACTTATTCCTTCTTTGTTTTGACAAAAGGAACATGCGAAACTTATTCCTTCTTTTGAATCAATTTCAATTTCTTTTACTTAGTTCCTTACATGAACTAGTTAAAAGATTAAGCAACTTTCTTCTTAATATGCATGATACAGGATATGTACATGATACTTTTTCTGGTCTAGTCTATTTTCTGTTTGTTCCCGTAGAATTAATACTTTTCAAAGGGCAATAAAACTTATTCCTTCTTTGTTTTGACAAAAGGAACATGCGAAACTTATTCCTTCTTTTGAATCAATTTCAATTTCTTTTACTTAGTTCCTTACATGAACTAGTTAAAAGATTAAGCAACTTTCTTCTTAATATGCATGATACAGGATATGTACATGATACTTTTTCTGGTCTAGTCTATTTTCTGTTTGTTCCCGTAGAATTAATACTTTTCAAAGGGCAATAAAACTTATTCCTTCTTTGTTTTGACAAAAGGAACATGCGAAACTTATTCCTTCTTTTGAATCAATTTCAATTTCTTTTACTTAGTTCCTTACATGAACTAGTTAAAAGATTAAGCAACTTTCTTCTTAATATGCATGATACAGGATATGTACATGATACTTTTTCTGGTCTAGTCTATTTTCTGTTTGTTCCCGTAGAATTAATACTTTTCAAAGGGCAATAAAACTTATTCCTTCTTTGTTTTGACAAAAGGAACATGCGAAACTTATTCCTTCTTTTGAATCAATTTCAATTTCTTTTACTTAGTTCCTTACATGAACTAGTTAAAAGATTAAGCAACTTTCTTCTTAATATGCATGATACAGGATATGTACATGATACTTTTTCTGGTCTAGTCTATTTTCTGTTTGTTCCCGTAGAATTAATACTTTTCAAAGGGCAATAAAACTTATTCCTTCTTTGTTTTGACAAAAGGAACATGCGAAACTTATTCCTTCTTTTGAATCAATTTCAATTTCTTTTACTTAGTTCCTTACATGAACTAGTTAAAAGATTAAGCAACTTTCTTCTTAATATGCATGATACAGGATATGTACATGATACTTTTTCTGGTCTAGTCTATTTTCTGTTTGTTCCCGTAGAATTAATACTTTTCAAAGGGCAATAAAACTTATTCCTTCTTTGTTTTGACAAAAGGAACATGCGAAACTTATTCCTTCTTTTGAATCAATTTCAATTTCTTTTACTTAGTTCCTTACATGAACTAGTTAAAAGATTAAGCAACTTTCTTCTTAATATGCATGATACAGGATATGTACATGATACTTTTTCTGGTCTAGTCTATTTTCTGTTTGTTCCCGTAGAATTAATACTTTTCAAAGGGCAATAAAACTTATTCCTTCTTTGTTTTGACAAAAGGAACATGCGAAACTTATTCCTTCTTTTGAATCAATTTCAATTTCTTTTACTTAGTTCCTTACATGAACTAGTTAAAAGATTAAGCAACTTTCTTCTTAATATGCATGATACAGGATATGTACATGATACTTTTTCTGGTCTAGTCTATTTTCTGTTTGTTCCCGTAGAATTAATACTTTTCAAAGGGCAATAAAACTTATTCCTTCTTTGTTTTGACAAAAGGAACATGCGAAACTTATTCCTTCTTTTGAATCAATTTCAATTTCTTTTACTTAGTTCCTTACATGAACTAGTTAAAAGATTAAGCAACTTTCTTCTTAATATGCATGATACACGATATGTACATGATACTTTTTCTGGTCTAGTCTATTTTCTGTTTGTTCCCGTAGAATTAATACTTTTCAAAGGTGCCTCCTATGGGCAATAAAACACAAAAATAGTCACCATAATATGCTTCTAGTGGTAACGCCTGATCTTTTATTCAACTTAAAGGGAGGACAGTTAGGGGATTCAGTAATTAGTGGAAGCAGAAATTTCTAGGCGAATTAGCACGTAATTAATTAGAACTAATGAGGATATCTAAAGAACCTTCCGTGACGCGTTCGTCTTTCCGATAATTTGTAACTCGTATGAATTAGGATACCAGTTTAATATTTTTTAAGGACGTTATTAAAATATCCTTGTGATCTATAATACAATATATTAAACTGAGGCTATTAATATTAGACTAACCTGTGACAGCCCTAAATAAATGGACACAGTTTCCGAGATATATAAAAATCGTCCATCAGAAGCAAGGGCCAGGGCAAATCCATCGAGGGACTGCAAAAACATCAATCAAACTGATAAGTGACATCTCTATTAACTTTAAGAATCATTTTTATTCAACTTAAACTCGATATATGGTGGCATTTAACGTCTTACGAAAAGGATAGCGTGTTATACGTATGTCAGAAGAAATGTTTTGGGACGATGTAAATTTGGGAGTACCCGGTATGAGTAAAATTATTATGTTTTTGTCACATCGTGATGTAGTCTATCAGTTGTCAGATTTTTGGCTTATGCATATTTGAAGTCTAAAAGACAAGCTATTTGTCAACGGGATATCTTTAAAGACGCATCAGAAGCCGTGTAATATTCAGTTTAGGTTACATATTCATGTCAGGTCTTGACGGCCATTCTTTATACGCCGAAGGGATCAGACGTCAGGGTATTGCCGACAAAACTGTCTGAAAGAAAATAAAGGGATGCGTTTTCTTCGAAAACTTGCAGAATTTAATATCAAAACTTTCAATTCGTTACTACTTATACACTGCTTCGTTGCACTCGAGTAAATTTACTACTACTACTACTACTACTACTACTTCATACCTGATGGAATGAGTCAAATATTTGATGGTTTTAAAGAAGAAAGTTTTACCTGTAATATATGAGTTCCTTGATGCTGTTCAAAAATATCCATAGCTAAACCCGCTGAAGTCCGACTTCTCCCTGCTGCAACAAAATAGATGAGTCAAAGGGGATGAACATGTGTGGGATAACGTGGTAAATAACGTTAGAGGATTGCGAGGCTTCCGCAATTATTGGGATTTTGGAATTCTACCACTTTTGAATTACAATTACTTGCCTCTGTCGATCTAGCATAACCCTAGCACAATAATTCCACTCGTTTACATTATTATTGAGTTTCTATCCTGTACACCCCAAATAAAATGAAAGGGATGACACGTTTGAATCATCGGGATCAGGATCAACCCTATACTAGACACTTCGATACCTAAGTACCGTTTATTACAAATAAATAGGAAAAAACAAATGTCGTGTTATCAAGGAATCCATTTAACTGGAAGTTGATATTAAAGATAAAATTATTTTTATTGTTCTTAAGGAATTTCTAGAGTTACACTACGAAAAGGGCTAGTTTTGTTCAAATAATAGTAAATTACTAATTAGACGTGACTAATCTGAAAATTTGATTTGGCCAAAAAGCACGCACTTTTAAAAAAGGTGAAGTTTTTTTATTGTTCACCTGATTTATAAAATTTAGCATTTATTTTGTTTCACTGTTAATTTTTAACAGTTTCAGTAAGTTAAATTTTGCATACGTGACTTGTGCAATTAGTTATTTACTATTTTTTGTGAAAATTAACTTTTTCCACACTATGTAACTCCCTAAATTTCTTAAAATAAGAAAAATTGAAAGTGTTTTGGATATCTGTAATTGTTACGATTTAATATTATTGTGAAAATTCATTCTCAATTTTTTTACCCACTATAAACTACCTTAGATTAATGAGGGAAAATTTGTTGCTGTTGTCATACCTTCGTCGGGAATCGAACCCGTAGCAGACAACAACAACAAATTTTCCCTCATTAATCTGAGGTAGTTTATAGTGGGTAAAAAATTTTTAAATTAATTTTCACAACAATATTTGATATTAACCATTTTTAAATGTTAAAATGTTTCACATATGCATGTTACACTTTATTCAAAACAAAAAAATTAGGAAAGTACTAATTTAATGTTTACCTAATTCAAAAAAAAAATAGTTCTTATTACAAAATAACTAATTCTAAAATCAATTTCCACTAACCTGTTTTAAATATTGTTACTTGCTTTTATTTAATAAAAAACTGCTATAATTTATTAATATATTAAGAATAATTCTACCCATCTCTACACATATAGTAACATTCACATCTCTATTAATTTAATTAGATTCCTTCGTATTGGATGAATAGTTGGAGGTGGAAGAGAGTGTTGTGTCAAGGCTGGTGTTAACTGCGGTTGTGGTGAGTGTTGGTTTTATTAATTTTTTTTGTATTAAAAATGATTATTAATTATGTATTTTTGATTGCATTGTTATTATAAGATATTAATTAACATATATGTATAAGATTTACTTTGCTACATGTGTTATTTTACGTTTTACAAGTGAATATAAAACGTAGAATATGACATATTTAGAGATACTCTTTGATACATTTGTCCTACAGTACAGCAGGATATCTTGATGGTTTTCTGTTTTTGTATGGTATATTAGTAAACAAAATTTATTTTTGTAATAAAAATACAATTGTATAAAAGTAAATATCTATAACGGGGTGTATATGGTTGTTAATAATAATAATGAGACGAAAACACTGGAAAAATAATTTATGAGGCTTTACTACAAAGAAATTATCTACTACGAAATAAGGTGATAAAAAATAGCTGAAAAATGTTGAATCAATAAGTGTTTCAAAAAAATTAAGCTATGAAGAGATGATTAATTGATTTAATTATAGTCAATTTTTTGTTCTTTTGATTAAGATTGCACATTAACCAAATTTACTACTATTTTGATTTTTAATTTTATTAAAAACGTTAGAGTCAAGTTACAATTTTTTAAGGATTATACATATAATGCTATATAAATTGAGTAGGGTAATTTGTGACTAGTTGCTAGGGTTGTTATAAGGGAAATATTCAATATATAAGCACATATATCATTATAAAATTAATATATTGGATTGGAACCAGGCTCTTTTAAACAAAAAGAAAATTTTCGGTAAAAATAGGAAACTGGAGTATTGATTGATGAGTCACGGCAATTTAACGTGATATAAGACAGACGCAAATAATCAAAGATTGTCCTTGGTAAAACTACTGTAAAGGTGTTTAGGGTCATATCCCAAAGGAGTACTAGCCAACGGTCACTGGTCCCTTCCCTATAATTCAATAATGTTCGTCAGCCACTCTTCCAACTAATATCACAGCATTAATCAATGTACATTGTCAAAACGTTATATAGAGAATAATTTTGCGATCTTTATTAAATTAATTTTCGAAAATGAAGTTAGGAGGAAATTTTGTTCATGTACATTTCAAGCATTTGCAAAATCAAGTGTGTGGTTTGTAAAAATTGCCTTACTTTTCATTAATCATTTTGTGACGTCAAGTTTTAGCATAGCAATTTTCAAGTTGACAGTAAAATCATTACGCACAATTGTTCAGTTTTTCAACTTTTTTATTGGTGAAGGAGGAAATTAGTTTTTCAGTTTAAATCTCCCCTACAGTCTCTTCAAACTCCAAGAATCAAGTATTTTCGTGAAATTTCTTGCACTTAACTTTACAAGTTCAAAAGGATGAAATGAAGCTTTCAATTATATCGATGGTGTAGGTATTGCTTTAAGAAATGTGTAATCTGCGTGCTGTCCCGAATATATTTAAATTGTCAATGATCTTATAAGTGCATAAATAATTCGCGCCTAATACATATCAGGTCGGTTTTTTATTGTTAAGGAGGAAATTAGTTTTTGAATTTAAATCTCCCCTCACTATTCTCAAATTTCAAGAATCAAGTATTTTCGTGAAGTTTCTTGCACTCAACTTTAAGGTCCAAAAGGATGAAATGAAGCTTTCAATTATATCGATGGTGTATTGCTTTAGGAAATGTGTAACCTGTGTGCTGTCCCGAATGTATTTTAATTGTCAATGATCTTATAAGTGCGTAAATAACTCGCGCCTAATACATATCAGATCGGGTTGATATCAAGTAATATCAAGTACCTACCTAACTTCTGAATGTGTTTGACATACAGTTAAGTAATGCAACAAGGGAAAACCATGTGAACTTTGATTTTCAGGTTATCAAGCTACTTGACTTGATGAATTATCATTAGTAGATAATGAGAATATTATGGATGTAATAGGTACAATAAAATCTTTAAAAAAAAATCTCATATCATAAAAAGGATTCAATACAGTAGAAACAGTAGTTAAGGTTCACAAATAGTTGAGGATGTAGGATGTTCTAGTTTTAGGAAAATGCGAAATTTAGCTCAGGATAGGAAAGATTGGAGGTGCGTGTCCAATTAGTCTTAGCACTGATAACCCTATAATGATGATGATAATGACAGGGTCATTTTTATACAGCAATTTACTTATTTTATTGTGGATATGCAAACTAGAGTTAAATTTTTATCGTATTCTTTTTTATTTTAATTTATTAAAGTTATTATTGATTATAATATCGACATGAAAATTTCAACTTTTAATTGGTTTGCGGCTGATACAAAGGAAGTCGCTAGAGTTGCCGTTCAGAATGCTGATTATTGCCTAGAGGAAGTTGAAAGATCGATATCGAATAAATCTAAGAAAAGGCGCTGTAGCACGCGACTAACTAGTTCGTCCAGTTATCCTACTGACTACGTTAGTAAATAGATACTAATAGATTTGGATTATAATATTTATCCCATTAACGATTTTACAACGGCAGTGAAACCAAAGAGGGAAGAATTATGAGGCTAGACCTCACCTTATCGAGACGAACTTGCCTCATGTTTTACGTTACATCGTTGTTGGCAAAAAAAGAACCAACAAGACAAGCTCAACTTGCTGCTGCTGTAAACATATATTTGATTGTGTGTAGGTTCCTTAAGTCTATAAGTTTTCTGGTATACACTCACTACCAATCGGTTTACAGGCGTATACAAAGCTAGTTCGACAAAGTTACATACATACACCATAATTTATCCCTGATTATTCGCTAATTTGTTATGAATTCCAAAAATTTGTCTCTCCTGTCGGTTGGAATTTGATATCAAGCTCGCACTGCACATAGTATATTTTAAGTACACTTTAAAGGTCATATATAATTTGTCTCTGAATAATGGTTCTTTTACACATTTTGTCGCTGGAGGCTGGATTCGTGACAAATCGATTAAGTTTCTATTTTTTAGTGAGATGTTAGTGACAAATCATGCTACAGTATTTTTTTGCGATATTTCTACATAATTTGGTATACGCTATGTGTAGTGTCACTTTGATGGGTCTCTAATTGTTTCTTGCTGATCAGCTCGAAGCTGGACTCGCAACAAAATAGGTAAAAGTACCACCTTTCAGCGACAAATTGTGGCCCTAACAGTATTTTTCTATGCCATTTAGGTATGTATTAGTGTCAGCTTATTGACATAAAGTTAACGCGTCGTTTATTTCTCCGTAACCTAAAACTGGAGCGACAAAGTTTTTGGATTTGGCAACCAATAAGCGAATAACTAGCGAAAAAATGTAGATAATTTCTAAAACAAGAAACATAACTGTCTTACTAGATTGATATCATCATCATTATAAGGTCGTCAGTCCTAAGACTGGTGGACACGTACCTCCACTCTTTCCTATCCTGAGCTAAACTTTGCATTTTCTTAAAACTAGAACAACCCACATCCTTAACTATTTGCGAACAGTAATCTAATCTAGGTCTACCTCTACCCCTCCTAACTGCTGTTTCTGCCTCTAATATGTCTCTGACTAGACCTTCATGCCTAAGAAGGTGTCCTACCAACCTCCTATCTCGCCTATTTTTTATTGACTTCCATAGAGTCGTCTGTTCTCCTATTCCTTCCAATACCTCTTCATTTCTAACCTTATCTACCCACGATATCCTCATCATCCGCCTATAACACCACATTTCGAACGCTTCTAACCTTTTCTTTTCCGCCGCGCTCACTGATTGATATACGTGATTTAAAAGATAGTATTTTATAAATGTCCGCAATTTAAAAATATAACAAAATAGCACGTTAAAATTTAGGTTTTATGGAAAGGTTTACTGATAAATCTGACGTAGATCGATGGTCAAGTGACTTTACTAAAATCGACCGGATGTCCTGTTGCGCTAATACATGTAAAAGGACAAAGGACATACGACACTATAACATTTGTTTACTACTATCCTCTGGGATTTATCGTACTAAGAGGCGAGGAGTAAACAGTAGTCCTTGCGAATACAGAATACAGAAGAGTTGATTTAAAGAGTAAAACTTATCTAGGTGCATATTACTATTCTGATGTTTCCCTGTGGCCATATTTTTATGATTATTTTGCATTTCTGGCTTTCAGAAGTAGATTTTTTTTGTGTCTATTAATTTAGGTTTGTTTCACGTGTTTGTAAAGCGAAACTACGGAATATATTTCACCATTTTTAACCTAATGAACCTAGGTATATTCAGGTGGTAGTCAGTGTTTTGTTCATAGGGTATGAAGAAAATATTTTTTGTTGAAAAGCGGACAAACAAGGTATTACGGCTGGCTGTGAAACTGTTGTTTCGCATGAAAACAGTGCACGAGGTAGTAATTCGTTTTGTGCAAGTATTCCTCGAAATAGCGCTTGCATATAATAAGGTTATGACAGTGACACTGTCCTGAATCAGAATTTACGATTTCGGAATACTAAATGGGAGCCATTTTGCCTATGTGCTTCGCATGGAAGCCATAGCGGTATGGATGATGATACGTGATGGGGAATTGTTATTTTTTACACGTACCGTACCGCTCGATTCCGTGCAGCCTTTGAGTAATTTCGGTTAGTCAAGCAGCCCAAAAATTAACCTACGTGAGCTGGTTTCGACGTATTTAAAATCGACGAGTATTTTTATCTAAACCAATTGTAATGCAGACAACGAAAACATTTAACAATGTACAACAGGGTGTGTACACTGAACACACGATTCCACTCTTTCTATAAAACTAACCTCAATTCTTCAGTTTTATCAACGCTAAAAAAGTCACACCGTTTTATAAATAGGCAGGTACGTATCTATTGAAAATGTTATGACACCAAAATTTACGTATCTGTATCAAGCCAGCACGACAAAGTCATATTTCTTGTTTCGAAAATTCATTATAATTTGTCGCTAATTTGTTACCGAATGCGAAACTTTTTCGCTCCACTACTTCACGTAGAACAATCTTTCAACGACAAATTTTTGTTCTTAAAGAATTTTTCAAGATGTGCTATATGTACTGATAGCTTGATTAGCATTTCGTCTATTCTCCATTAGCCAGGTTGAAGCGACAAGTTTTTGGATTTGGTAAGAAAGTAGCGATAAATTATAGTAGGTATACATTTTAGAAATGAGAAATATAACTTTATCGTGATAGCTTTATAATACGCTCATACATTGCTAATCGATGATCATCAATCAATTAATCGAAAGTAATTGTTGTTGGTGTTGTGGTCTATCGAATTATAAACCACATTAAGAAAACAGTATGAAATATTTGATAGTAAAAATGATTTATTTCTGAAGAAAAAATGTAAGCTTTATAAAAATAAAAAGAAAGAGTGAGGTACCTATAATTGTTGGAGGGTGTGATGTTAACACATCGATATTCGGTCGTTTCGGTTGCCGTGTATGTCATAGTAGAAGACGAGGGGTGTTGTAGGATGAGGCATCGTCTGACGAGGACAAAATGTTCCCCGAATGTACAACATGTAAATCTAATCACGAACCCTCCCTGTTAAACTAGTAAATCCAATTCCAGACCGTCCCGCGAATGATGAAATTAGACAGTGCTTATTGTAAACCAAACTGGGAAAATTTAGAGGCCTAATTGGTGTACTTGTGGCGAGTGAGGGTTTGAACAGAAATAATTATGCAGAATTAGGCAGTCGGATTCGACATTCTTACGACAACACTCTTAATGAATTGACACCGATATAGAGGGTTACAAGCTTTGTTTAAGATTTAAATGGGATTGCTTTTGTAACGTGCCGCCGTCTTCCTTCTCTCAACCGTACGTAAATATGCGAACGGGAATTAGCGGGGGCTATATTTTGCGGAAGGGTTATTTATCTCTGCCATCCCCCAATTCCCGGCTGCCTTCGTTCTCTTAAATACTGATTGACATTATTCCTTCAACACTTGTAGCTTCATACGTTTTTGTATAATGCTACACGTCGTTCCTGTTGTTCTCTACCATGGTAATACCTTTACAAATATGTAGAGGACCATAACAGTACGAAAATTGTTTATATAGGGTTGTTCGGAAAGTCATTTCGTTTTTTCCCGATAGAGGATTTAATTGTATTCTTTTGCACCCAACTTCACATTTAAGCCGTATAATTTTTATATGCTTTGAGAGCTCATAATATGGCAAGGCTTGTGTGTGAAAAATTCCAATTAATTCTACGCAGTAGTTTTTGGTTGGTGCCCTTTTAAATATGGAGAGCGATAAGCAGCATTTTCGACATATCTTACTGTTTTACTACAGAAAGGGTAAAAATGCTGTTCAAGTCAGAAAGAAATTGACTGATGTGTATGGAGAAGGTGTGTTGACAGTACGCCAGTGCCAGAACTGGTTCGCTAAATTTCGATCCGGCAATTTTGATGTCGAAAATGCACCACGTTCGGGAAGGCAGGTTGAAGCTGATAAAAACGCGATAATTGATGTGAACCGGCGAATAACAACACGTGAGATCGGATTGAGGTTAAATTTATCAAATTCAACAGTTTATGACCACTTGAAAGGCCTGGGATTATCCTCGAAGCTCGATGTATGGGTTCCCCATGTTCTCACAGAGAGAAATCTGTGTCGCCGCATTGACGTCTGCGATTCGCTTCTCAAACGTCACGAAAATGATCCGTTTTTGAAACGCATCATCACTGGGGACGAAAAATGGGTTGTATACAACAACGTCAAACGCAAGAGGTCATGGAGCAAAAAAGATGAACCGGCTCAAACCATTTCCAAAGCCGATATTCACCAAAAAAAGGTGATGCTGTCTGTTTGGTGGGATTTTAAAGGAATCGTTTTTTTTGAGCTTTTACCGGATTACACAACGATTTATTCGGAAGTCTACTGTCATCAGCTGGACAAACTGAATGATGCACTTCAACGGAAAAGGTCAGAACTAATCAACAGGAAAGGTGTAGTGTTTCTCCAAGTCAACGCGAGACCTCACACATGTTTGGTCACTCGTCAAAAGCTTTTACAGCTTGAATGGGATACAATGCTTTACCCAACATATTCTCCAGACCTGGCACCATCGGATTATTATTTGTTCCGGTCACTCCAAAATTTTTTAGACGGTAAAACCTTCACCTCAAATGTGGAGGTCAAAAACCTCCTCGATCAGTTTTTTGCCAGCAAAGACCAAAAATTTTATGAGCGTGGAATTATGCTACTACCAGAAAGATGGCAAAAGGTGTTGGACCAGAACGGTCAATATATAATTTAATAAAGTATTTGTTTATTATACGAAAACTGTCTTTCATTTCCACAAAAAAAACGAAATGACTTTCCGAACAACGCGATAAGAACAAAGGCTTTCACGGCCGGAGTCCATAGTAGTATGAAGATTCGGGCTATAGCGCCGTGGTCTAAGCGAACTATTCTGTCCAGACGTTTCGTCGGCTACTGCGGCTGACATCCTCAGTGGTAATGCTGCGTTAACAACGTGAACGTAGATTATATCTCGAAGTCTCGACAGCGACTTGTCGTCGTCGTCAACGCACCACTACCACTGAGGATGTCAACCGCAGTAGCTGACGAAACGTCTGGACGTAATAGTTCACTTAGACCACGGCCCTATAGCCCGAATCTTCATGCTACTATACAATGGTTTATATACAACTTTCGGTTCAGTTTTTCTCTAGGTCCGCTTCTGTCCCGACCTCATTCAAAATCATTTTATCAATGTTCAAAATCAACAAAACAGTGATTGAAGAATGTTGATGGATCGCTATTTATTTCTTACAACTACTTGTAAATGTATCTACTATAACCGCCAAAACTCACATACCAATCAAATTTCATCGTATCATCCATCTCATTCAGAAGTCATGCCACCTATTTTCATGATTTAGTTGTTTATAAGCCAATATACGTTCATGCAAACGTCAATCAAACGCCAATTTTAAAACATCGATGTATCGAATCTCTGATATTGATTCTTCTACGAGAAACATCGATGTTTACAGAAAATCGACGAATATCGTCCACCTCAAATGTATAATAATGAAACTAACCTTTGAGAGATTTGTTGGGCGGTGGTCCATCCCTGTTCCATGGTGGATCCCCATGACCCGAAAAATCTCGGAGTTTCAGGTACGATATTGTTAATCTTATTATACTTGCTTTGTCAAGTTGAGACGTGATGGCAGCTGGAAGAGGCAACATTTTGGCCAGCTCGTAAAATTCGAAATTTTCTTTGCCTCTTCGCGACCTTGCAGCGTCCCTGCTCTTCTCCTTCCTCAATTCCAGAATACTGTAAACAAACGCTAAAATAATTTAAATAATTCTAAACTTCTCACTTCAACAACAATAAGACTCTTATTGACTAGCGTGCCAACATTAATTTTCTAATAATTTTTTACATTTTACATATATTTCGTCAAAAATAACTAAGGTTAATATTAAGTTCAGTATTTTTTATCTGGAAGTAAAACGTATTGTGTAGACTTAACAGCTGATCGTTTTCTTGGTATCATTGCTATAAATCTGTTGTTAGCAAACCCCTCCGACGTTTAAAAGTTCCTTTTTTTAATACGATTCTAATGTAAATTTAGTACAACAAATCTCGATAAGGAGAAGAAATTAAAGAATTGGCCGGTATTGAAAACAAGAAAAATCCCAGAGGTTTTCGGTGAATGAAGGTGGAAAGTCTGAACAAGTAAGCCAGGGCACGAGTCCCCTAGGATGCATAAAAGTAGAAAGTATTGGAGGCCAAACGTCGCAATTGTGCGAATGATTAGACCTTCCGGAGATACAGAAAGTCACAAAGAAAACTTGTGGCAATAGTATCTATGTATATACCTATTAAAAATAGAAAATTTTGAAAGAGGTTAATAAATTATATCATTGATCTGTAATGACACCAATTGTTCAAATATTTGACAGTAATTTGAATATAAAAAATATAAGCGAATTAACTTTTACCACATCGTCATCATCATAAGGTCGTCAGTCTTAAGATTGGTTGGACTATCCTGATCTAAATTTCGCATTTCCCTAAAACTCTCACATCATTAATTATTTGTGAACAGAAATCTAATCTATGGATCTACCTCTACTCCTCTTAACTCCTGTTTCTGTTTCTATTATTTCTCTAAGTAGTCCTTCATACCTAAGAGGGTGCCCTACGAACCTATTTTTTATTGAACTCCATATAGGCCCCTGTTCTCCTATTCTATCTAATATCTCTTCATTTCTAACCTTCTCTATCCACGGTATCCTCATCATATCACCTATAACACCACATATCGAACACTTCTAACCTTTTCTTTCTTTTCTAAATTAACTGTTCGCGAGTATACAAGTGACTTCTTTTTATTGAAGGCGACTCTACCCTTCGCTATCCTGTGTCTTATGTCTCTACCGCTGGAAGGATTGAGTTATCTGACTTCTAATTTTTCGTCTCCTATCTTTTTGTTCTCACTTTTCCTACTTTTTCTTCCCTTGCATACTAGTACTTATTTTTGTTTTACTTTTATTTATTATCATACAATATTGTTTTGTCTTTACCGTTTTCATTTTATTTAAGACTATCTCTAATTTTCATTTTCCACATTAAAACTTTAAAACCCAGTTTCCGAAGTGTTGACTATCAAAGATCTTTGATGAATTAATTCCTTAGGAAATTAAGTGAATTAAGATGGAAAATTCTAGAATTTTTAAATATTTATCAGAATATTCGTTTGGAATTGCGATATTGTGGGAATTGTGTCTGCGGTTTGGTTCGGAGATTTCGTTTCGATTAGTGATTGCAGGTTTTCGATTATAATGTGCGAGGAAGAATTGAGATAGGTACCCAGATAGGAGCAGCATACGTTTTATGACGTGATGGGAGGCAGTTTTTCAGTTCGGTGGTGTCTCGTGAGAGTTGGTGGTTCATTAGTGCGACACGTCTTCGCACGTAAGTCCAGCGATAAAACTGGCCATCACAACGTGACGGTCGCAAGTCAGCACTCTTGCCCAAGTCCTTCGTCGTCAGTATACGATGATGACGGCGTTCTCTATTTGGAAGCGAATCGCCTTGGGACAGCGTTCTCCGATCGCTTACGCGACATCCGAGAGATAAAAAGGAACCCGTAGAGCGTTCCGATCGTCCAAGAGGTAGGTGGAGGTGTATAGTCAGGTGGCGCATTCTCGCGATAACCTAATCATCCGTCTACAGAAGAAGAAGGACGAAGGGCCAATTCTCCGAGGGCCTAGCAAGCGTTGAACTAACGTCGGCCAATTTCCGCCAATTTTACCAAAAGTTCGCCTTAATTTTGTTTTCACACGCTGCCCTCTATAAGGACCGACGCACCCCTAGCTAACGCCAAACTCAGCCAGCCACCCTCGCACTATACCGGACGAAAGCACGACTTACTTTCCATTACTTTTTTGGGGGAGTTTTCATTATTATCGTTTGTTTCTCAATTGAATTCTTTACACTACAACAAACTATCGCAGTAGAAACTCGATTGAATGGCTAAATAATCGGGATCATCTGTTTAAGTATGCAGTTGAAACGAATTCAAAACCTAAATCGATAGTCACTTTTCTTACCACATAATAGTAAAAAAGGCATCTGACGAAATCTTATTTGGATGAAACGTTAAATGTCAAATCGGTACATAAGTGTACCGAGCATTGATTCAAATAAAAAATATCGACCAATATTTCTGGAAGCATTTGGTGTAAAGAAATGTCAAGTGAAGTAAAATTTGGAACATCAAACAAAGTATTCTTCCAATAGGAATTAATAAAAGAACGTACCAAAAAAGTACCTAGGTACTATGTTCAGGCTTCAACTAATCTATAAGAATTTGAAAAAGAAAAAGTCAAGTATTAAAGACAAATGAAGGAAAATCTGAAACAATGTATTTTTCAATAAAGAACTGACCAATAAACCAATCTAGATAGAGAGATTTGGTGTAAGTCTCAAAGGCAAATGGTACGAAACTAAACCATAATAACTAAACTTCTAATAAGGAACTGATAAATGATTCAATTTAAAATGCCAAGCTTCCATCATTTTAGAACCATTTGGTGTAAAACAAAGTACAACAGTAATGGTATATTTGTCAATAAGAATTGGTGAAATAGTTGACCCACCAAAATCAGTCGGTGGTTCCTGGTTTCTCTTGGATACTGATACAATGATATCTACCAGTGGGCACCAGAGTCGGTCGAATAGCTCATCCACCAGGATCAGCTGGTGGTTCCTGCTTTTTTTTTTAATATTAAAGCTACTCTAGCATCACCTGGTGTTAATAAAACATTAAAGCTTTCTCGTTCTCTTCCGTTTGGCCAGTTTAAATTGTTTTGCTTTTAGTGTAGCTTTTTTTGTTTCTAAGTATCTATACGAAAATGTTTATATATAGATGTATACATATATTTACGGTAAATAATGCCTGGTAATTCTTTACATTTGTATCCATCCCTTGCGCTAACCAATAGCAGTAATTCATAGGGTCAATTTGAGCCGTGAAGTCCCTGGTGTCCGGCCCAAATGCAGAGTGACAGGTCCTATTGCTGCGGTCCCCGAATTATGATCGTCTCTTATAGTTTTTACTTATTTCTTCGGCGGCGGACGAGGGAGAGCAGTTTAATATAACACGATTATAACAGGGCCGGCCCTTTCGCGATATCTCCCGAATAAAATGAAAAAACAAGCCGAATTGGCGCGTTGTCGAGGATTTATAGATTCGAGATTTATTACTGTAGACGTCCCTAGTGACCCTTTCGTTCTTTTTTTTTTTTCGGCCCAACTGTTTTCTTCAACGCCTTCTGTTTACATGGATTTCGCTCATTCATTGTTTACTTAACCGGAATGCCAACAAGCGCCTAACGTTCCGAATCTACCCTGTGGCTAACCCACCCCCATTTTATCGTAAATTGTCAGATAGAATCATTACCGATTGTTATCACAACTTCTATCTACTAACATTCCTTATGCTAGAACACCGTATATCGTGAACAACTAAACTTTCGGTTATAGAAACCAACGTCTATATTAGCTTTTAGAATCTATATTTTGCTCTAGGTGTAGCGTCATTGTAGTATAAACGCTCGACATATTTGGTACTTCCCCAGACACTTTGGCCGAATAGGTATAGTTAGTTGTTAGTGGTTGTATTATCTGCATTTTACGTATCAGTACATACTTCCTTTTTTGATGGACATTCTTAAATTCATAAGGTTTCAGTAGGAGAAAACAACACGAACGACTATTTATTGCTTCACAGGTTGACTAAGTTTCAAGTAAATCTATCCACAAACAAAGATGTTAAAACGAACGACGAAATACATCCTTCATCCTTGTTCCTTGTATACATCATAAAGGAAACCTTTGTTCAAAATTGCAGTTATCTAGGTCCAAAGGCTCAGCTTGGGCATTGATGAATCAAATAAAATAATTCGAAGTGGTCTGTATTCTGTCGAAACTGCCAGACGCGGATCGCGATTTCGATCTTTTTGGATCTCATCAGCGCGTCGCAGGCAGCTCCGACAGAACACAGACCAACTTTTACCTGCTGTCTTAACAGTACGTTTTAGAAAATTTTAGAGAAAATTTTAGAAAAGCACGATGCTACATTTTAGGATTACGTTTGCTCCAACAAGGTCGACTTGTGTGGATATCTACTTGCTGTCTTAACAGTACGTTTAAAACGTAAAAATCCTAAAATGTAGCATCGTGCTACAGACGGCGTTTGTAGTATTTTCCTTTAATGAATCAGTAAATCTAGACTTTTATAATTGTAAGCTATATAAATTTGGAATTCGCTTTTGAGAAATTTCTGGAGAAAAGTATCTCGCCCTTCAACATTTGTTGTTATTTGTTATTAATGACTATGTATTAGTATTTTATTTCTGTGTATATGAAATATGTAACGTATATGTTTATTTTGTTAGCCGTTATAAATGTTTATTACGACTGCAAATTTAAAATTAAGTCTTTCTACCATTTCACAAAATTACCGTCTTTGAACTATACCTAAAACGGGACAGTATTATGTAAAGAATAGTTTTTTGTAACTACCGATCAGTGCGTAGACAGAAAAATTATCAAATTTATACATTTTCAGATACCGTGAAACCGCATTATCCGCTGGTGCACAGAGGCAGTAAATTGGATTTAGGAAAGAAGTGCCCACTGCTCATGGAACGGTAAGCGAACCTTGTTTATATGATGATGGTAGCCTTTTTTTACTGACGCTTGAACGTTAAATTGGGTGTTTGTCAATCAGTACCCAGTTTAGATTCAAATTATTGGAGCATTGCCGCAAATCGGGCCACTTCGTCATTTGCTTAATTGTCAAAACCCGTAAAGTGTAATTTAAAAAAAAAAATATGGGTTTATTCAACAAAAAATTGTGTCACTTTCATATTCAGTGCATATATTTGATGCCAAACTGTAGTATTTTTTAAAAATGCTTTGAATGAGATTGATACGTCGAGCATCACTTCACCAGATACATATACGAATTCTTCTAATAATTTCCACTGTTAGTTTCTGCTATTTTGATTTTGATTTTCCATTTTAGTATAGATACTATGTGTCGCCTCCTAATCACGTTTAATGCCTTTTTATATTATACACAATCACATTTTTGCGTATGGTGTTTTATATGTATTATACAAGCATGCACGTTTTACAAATGATATTTTGTTTTGAGCGCACATTAGCACTAATTATTGGTTTTACGTTTAGTGATTTGGTTAAAGCGTCTGGTAACATTTCTTTAAATTGTGGGGACTTTTTATAAACTATGACGAATCCATGTTACTATTTATGCAATAAGCACGAATGGTATTAGTGTAAAAAGAACATACAAGTGGTTCTGGTGGTATGTTTAAACATCATAATAATTTGGCACAAAAGGTAAAAAGCACAAGTGCTATATCATGATTGCTATGATGAGTTATAAAGTATCAGAAAAGCATAAAGCTTGGGTGTATATAGTTTACGTATACCGCACAAAATTGATGGGTTGTTTTAAGCGTAAAATTTTAGTGATACAGCATTTATGATAAGAGTTAAAGACCAATTCGGTTTTCGTGAGCTTTAGTACGTTATTAATACAGACTACATTCTGTAGCACGAATAAGCACAAAAGAGGGCACTTTTTACGTTCTTTTTAGAGCTTTCAGTATTTCAATGACTTATAAAGGTACTTGTTGAAAATAAGTGATGATTAACGACAGGAGTTGTCGTTCTTTGTGGTATATCAATTTGTTTACACTGTCGCGCTATAAATAATACGTCTGGCAGAGGTGTTAAATATTCCACAAGAGTAGTTGATACATCTATTTTTGCGCAAGGCAGCCTCGAGCTGGAAAATCCTTTTTGAAATACGCATTATGTCGAATTGTTCGTTATGTCTCGGTAATTAGAATAAGAATCGTACGCTTGCGGTAAGGAAAACAATACATTATACAGTGATTTATAGATTAGAGTCATGCGTCATCTTCATGCTTTGGTAAATACGTCACTATCAACTCTAATTTACATAAGTTTGTTGTATATCGTACCTAGGTACTGGGTGCTACAAATTTCACAAGGCGTCGTAAACCTTTATAAGCAAATTAATGTTTAATAATAATAATGCAATTTATAATTATAATTATAATTAGTGATTTCAAAACATTCAGATGTCGCACTAAAAGTACTACAATTGTGCATGCTGGCCATTATAAACATATCAGCATGACATTTGATACCAAGTATCTACCTGCCAATAAAAGTGTCCAATTGGGACTTCATTTGGTCTATCAACGTGCTCTGATATGACCACTTCTTTTTGATATTTTATAAAAAAAAAAACAAAAGAAACTCAAAACAGGCTTAGTAATATGGGTCAAGTAAGCGGATTTAAGTTTCATTCCAGGACATTTCACGGAAATTGTTTCCATTTGCAATGAAATGTCTGATTGTTTTCTAAAGGATAATAAAAAGGACTTCGTCCTTAGATACACTTAGTGTAGATACATATAGCTATTATTGGAAAGAAAATTGAACAGTATGAAGATGGTATGGAAAAATGAGTATCTACATCATGAAAATGTGGAAAATTTGATGACAGGTCGGAAAAGCTCCGTGTTGCTTAAATCCGCTTTATAAAGGTGAACAAATAAGTTAACATGCCCTGGTTCGAGGACGGGACTCTGTTTGTAGGGGACACACAGATCCGCTGGTACCAACCAGGAGTGCGTGAACGCAGGGTTGATGTTGACTCCGAGGCCGATGGGTGGTTGCCTCTGGAAGCTCGAGGTGACGGCGTAATCCATGGCTACGGTTTGGTATGGTAACATTGTTACAACTCACGTTCACTAACCACAATCACTGTCGATGGACTATTGACCGCGTGCCATCCGAAATCCAAAGAGCGCCGCTTCACTTTGGGGGCGGAGAGCTTTTCCGACAAAGACTTGTGCGATTGGTCGGTGTCACGCAGAGTAGCGCATTGCAACTACGCGCTAGAAACCATTCGCTGCTGTATCCGCCCACGTACCGGAATCAACAAGTAGCCAATACACCAAGCCTGTATAACTCATATTAACACGTATGACGTCTCGATTATACTCACCCATTCCAAAACGAACGGCTGAATAACTCCTGTTATCACTCATCCCATCATCCTTCCAAATTAATGTTTATTTACTTTCCTGGCTTCACACCGATTTCTGAATGATCATTGACGACGAATGTCCTCCTCTTAAAGAGATTGAATTCCTTCGATTGATTTAACATGAGGATTATCCTTGACTTCATCAGTGCTTCTAGGATTCCTCTTAATTGTATCCAAAGTACTGCACTTTTCACTCCTTAAACAAGGTTTTCAACTATCCAAAGTACATGCGTACACTCTTCGTCCTTTCAAGGAATTATGAATCTCCTTAAGCCTCGAGGGTAGTGTGTTGTATCCTTCTCCTTTTGTGTTTGGAATTTCTTTTGATTCCTCTAGTGAAAACTGTTATGATCTATACCTATTTAAGTCTTGCGATTATCGTCGTCCTTCGAACATTTATTATCCTTAAGCTTTAACACTATCAAAACTGGTTCCTACCATTTGTCCTTTTAAATTATTTAGAGCCCCTCGCATCGATCTTCTAAAACCACTATCTTTAAACCTAGAGAATATTAAATCCTTTTCCAAAATTTTCCTTTTGGCGAAAATTATTAGTGATTATCCTTTCGTAATTCTTAAACATTTAAACTTATTGGAGTTTAAGCAAAATTTTACTGACAATTAGTTTCAGGTATTTCTGTCAATTTAGCACTTTTTAATGATTTTATCATTTATTGTGTTTACTATCCTGTCTGCAATCCTGGATCGTCCTGTTTTTCTAGTGGATGGGTTAAAAGTTACATGGATAGAATAAAGTCATCACTGGCTTCGTTATATTAAATATTAATTATAATTTCCTTCTTACGACTGTAATATCTAGAGGATTTCTATCTCCCTTTGATGAACTGACATGTTATTGTACCTGTCTATCGTCCCATTAGCTTTGCGTTTTACCCAATCCTTTATTGCTTCATTATGATATTTGGCAGTAAATTAAGTATCTTTGTAGTGTATCTAGTGTTTAGGGTGCTTATTAATTTTCGAAATTTTGACTGTCACAATTGACATTACCGGATTTACAATTTTGATGCTTGGCGCCTTCACCAAAATTATTAGATTTCGGGATGAGCTCGAATCAATTGAATATTTAAATATTTAAATATCCATAAAACGAATAGATAGATACTTTCAAAACAATATTTGAAATTTAAATATTCAGATAAGTATATTCAAAATCTAAATATCTGAATATTCAGAATTTATTACCTATACCAAATTTCAAACAACTGGATAGGTATGTCCAAATATACTGAAATACTCGAATATTACGTTGTTAAATGTTTGTATATTTTGTTCCTAATTTCTAATGTTTTTATGAAGTTCTTGTTTTCAAATAAACATTAATAATGCAATATTCTAATTTTTTAATATTGAGTCGTTATGTCAGTATTTTTTCAGATATTCAAATATTTGAATATTATTATTTATATTTGCAATAAGAAATTTAAGGGGACCTAAATCTTTAGACAATAGTAAACGTGAAATCATAGCAAGTAATATTTTAGTCTGAGTCGTGCATATGTGTGTGTGTGTGTGTGTGTGTAAGTATATTAGTTCCCTTAATTATTTTCCGGAAATAATCTGCGTCAGTATCTCCGGGTCGGAATAAGGGTCCGACATCGCGATGCGGCCAGAGTGGCGCGACATAGGGTCGTGTTATTAGACCGGTGGTGGTATATATTTGAGATGAAGACAACAAATTAATTAGAGGCTATAGAATACATTACTGCAGGGTCAAGCCGATAGCTCAGGCCCAGAAGAGATACAAATTAAGATATTCTAATTGAGGGCTCCGCAAGAACCCTATGGCAGTAGGATGACATTCAGCTCTTCAGATATCGCAATTTGCAAGAATTGTTTTTGGGGTTAAAGCACAAAAATATATAGATATCCCCTTTTCAAAAATTGGTCTGTATTTTTCTTTATTATACTGATACATGTATAATATATGAATGCACAAAAATTGTACCTATATATACGGTGTTAGGGGTATTAATTTCATTGGGTAATCAGTGGAGGGAGTAATAATAAAGTAGGTGAGCATAAATGGAGCAGATGATTCATGGGATTAGGCAATAATAAGAGAGAGTCTAAGTTGGCTGGCTGGTGATGTTCGGTAATAATATCGGGCATATTGGCAAAAGAGGGGCCCTTGCGGTATCCCATTATCGATTAGCTTTATGTGTGTATCGGCCGCCTGAATGGCATTCGTTAGTCGCAATTTCGGAATAGTATTTTCTTTGCAAATAGTGACGCTAAACGCATCCGCTTGGGGGTGCAAGTGAAAGTACTTTGATTAGCCCCTCTCGTACTCGCTGATGCTACCTCCTGAGCGAATGCTGGCGAATTTAACGTCGTCCAAAATAAAAACGTGACAGACATGTTTATTTATAGGGTTGTTCGGAAAGTCATTTCGTTTTTTCCCGACAGAGGATTTAATTATATTCTTTTGCACCCAACTTCACATTTAAGCCGTATAATTTTTATATGCTTTGAGAGCTCATAATAGCAGGCTTGTGTGTGAAAAATTCCAATTAA